GGAAATGGTGTAAAAGCTTTCATAAAAAATAAAGTTTTTTCTTCAAAAGCTTTTGTCCTTTTTAAATGCAAAATTGTTGTAATATTCCATCATAAGCTTTTCCAAAAAAAGAAAGATTTTTCTCAAAAGCTCTTGTCTCCATTTTAAATGCAAAATTTGTTCAGAACTTTAATCTTTAATCAATTGGATATTTAAAAAAAGCTTACAGAAAAAGAAAGCTTTTTCTTTTAAAGCTCTTCTCCTTTTAAAAAGTAAGATGCGGTCCGATCTAATGGTGTAAACTTTACAAAAAAAGAAAGCTTTTGTAAAATAAAGCTCTTTTTCATTTCAGCCTTAATAAAAGCTTTTAATATCCTTTTTTATATATATCACTAGGTAATGGTTTAGTTTTTTTAATTTATTTCTTTAAAATTTAAGGTTTTTTTAAACAACAACAAACTTTTTTGTACCTAAGAAATTCAAGTGTAGTAGTTAGTGTTTACTTTTAGAAAAAAAAGTAAAAGCTTGAAAGCTTTTTTCCTTTTTTTTAACAATTTAGCCGTTATTTTAAACTGTTAAGACTTTTTTAATTTAAATATTTTTTTTATTTTATTTGTAATTTTTAAACGTGCCTTTTTTAAAAATCCTTGAAAACACTAATTTAATTATTATTGCATTTAGTTTAAGTTTTTTTTCTAGCAACAATTTATTTAACAAAACCAACAAAAAACCGAAAACAATCGATTGCATTTTTATATTTGCATTAACGTTTTTTCTAGTAGTTTTAACTTAGTTTAAGTTAAAAAAACAAACGATTATTTTTTTTTCTTTCTATTTACGATTTTGGTTAAGTTTTAGTTAAAGAAAACTTTGGAAATGAAATGAAGTTTAAGCCATATAGTTAACATACCTTAGACTAGACTCTGGAATAGAGACTAGTTCTTAGACTAGACAGCACAGACATAACTATAAAGTATACTATAAACTATAATAAAGACTAAAATAAACCATAGACTAGACTAGACCAAACTATAAACTAGACTATAGACTAACTTAAGACTAGCATATAGACTAAACCATAGATCAGACTAGAGAAAAGACTACAGACTGACTATAGATTTGACTATGGGCCGAACTGTAGTCTAGACTAGACTATAGACTAGTCTACAGACTAGACTATAGACTAAACTATAGACTAAACTATAGACTAGACTATAGACTAGACTATAGACTAAACTATAGACTAGACTATAGACTAGACTATAGACTAGACTATAGACTAGACTATAGACTAGACTATACTATAGACTAGACTATAGACTAGACTATAGACTAGACTATAGACTAGACTATAGACTAGACTATAGACTAGACTATAGACTAGACTATAGACTAGACTATAGACTAGACTATAGACTAGACTATAGACTAGACTATAGACTAGACTATAGACTAGACTATAGACTAGACTATAGACTAGACTATAGACTAGACTATAGACTAGACTATAGACTAGACTATAGACTAGACTATAGACTAGACTATAGACTAGACTATAGACTAGACTATAGACTAGACTATAGACTAGACTATAGACTAGACTATAGACTAGACTATAGACTAGACTATAGACTAGACTATAGACTAGACTATAGACTAGACTATAGACTAGACTATAGACTAGACTATAGACTAGACTATAGACTAGACTATAGACTAGACTATAGACTAGACTATAGACTAGACTATAGACTAGACTATAGACTAGACTATAGACTAGACTATAGACTAGACTATAGACTAGACTATAGACTAGACTATAGACTAGACTATAGACTAGACTATAGACTAGACTATAGACTAGACTACAGACTAGACTAGACTATAGACTAGGCTCTAGACTGGACTATAGACTGAGCTATAGACTAGACTTTAGGCAACTGTCTAGACTATAGGCTAGGCTATATGCCAGTCTTAAGACTTAATTATAGACTAGATTATAGACTCGACTAGACTCCTGTACAGACTAGACTGAAGAGTGATGTCATAGACTAGACCAAACTAGACTACTATAGACCAGACTATAAGCTGAACTATATTCTTGATAATAGACTAGACTATATATAAAACTATAGACTATATACATAATAGTCTAAACAAGAGTAAAGACTTTAAACTAGTCTTTCGACAAGATTATAAAATTCTATATTCCAGACTAAACTACAGACTAAAATGTAGACTAAACTATCTATAGCATAGACTAATGTATAGACTAGACTATAGTCTGAACCATAGACAAGACTATAGACTAAACTATATACTATATACTGTCTATTATATAGACTAAAACTAGTCAATTCTATAGACTAGCAACTAGTCTATTCTATAGACTAGCAACTAGTCTATTCTATAGACTAGCAACTAGTCTATTCTATGGACTAGCAACTAGTCTATTCTATAGACTAGCAACTAGTCTATTCTACAGACTAGCAACTAGTCTATTCTATAGACTAGCAACTAGTCTATTCCATAGACTAGCAACTAGTATAATCTATAGACTAGAAACTAGTCTATTCTATGAACTATCAACTAGTCTATTCTATACACTAGCAACTAGTCTATTCTATACACTAGCACCTAGTCTATAGTCTAGACACTAGTATATTCTATAGTCTATACACTAGTCTGTTCTATAGTCTAGACACTAGTCTATTCTATAGACTAGCAACTAGTCTTTTCTATAGACTAGCAACTAGTCTATTCTATAGACTAGCAACTAGTCTATTCTATAAACTAGCAACTGGTATATTTTGTAGACTAGCAACTAGTCTATTCTATACACTAGCAACTAGTCTATTCTATAGACTAGCAACTAGTCTATTCTATAGACTAACAACTAGTCTATTCTATAGACTAGCAACTAGTCTATTCTATAGACTAGCAACTAGTCTATTCTATAGACTAGCAACTAGTCTATTCTATAAACTAGCAACTAGTCTATTCTATAGACTAGCAACTAGTCTATTCTATAGACTAGCAACTAGTCTATTCTATAGACTAGCAACTAGTCTATTCTATAGACTAGCAACTAGTCTATTCTATAGACTAGCAACTAGTCTATTCTATAGACTAGCAACTAGTCTATTCTATAGACTAGCAACTAGTCTATTCTATAGACTAGCAACTAGTCCATTCTATAGACTAGCAACTAGTCTATTCTATAGACTAGCAACTAGTCTATTCTATAGACTAGCAATTAGTCTATTCTATAGACTAGCAACTAGTCTATTCTATAGACTAGCAACTAGTATAATCTATATATAGTCTATTCTATGAACTATCAACTAGTCTATTCTATAAGCTAGCAACTAGTCTATTCTATACACTAGCAACTAGTATATTCTATAGACTAGTAACTAGTCTATTCTATACACTAGCAACTAGTCTATAGTCTAGACACAAGTCTATTCTATAGTCCATACACTAGTCTATTCTATAGACAAGTCACTAGTCTATTCTATAGACTAGTCACTAGTCCATGCTATAGACTAGACACTAGTCTATAGTATAGACTAGACACTAGTCTATTGTATAGACTAGACACTAGTCTATTGTATAGACTAGACACTAGTCTATTGTAAAGACTACACACTAGTCTGTTGTAAAGACTAGACACTAGTCTATTCTATAGACTATACACTAGTCTATTCTATAGACTATACACTAGTCTAGTCTATAGACTATACACTAGTCTAGTCTATAGACTAGACACTAGTCTATTATATAGACTAGACACTAGTCTATTATATAGAATAGAAACTAGTATATTCTTAGGACTAGAATGTATTCTTTAGACTAGAATGTGGTCCGTTCTTTAGACTAGAATGTAGTCTATTCTTTAGTCTAGAATGTGGTCTATTCTTTAGACTAGAATGTGAACTATGCTTTACACTAGAATGTAGTCTATTCTTTAAACTAGAATGTAGTCTCTATTCTATAGAAATTAACTAGAATTTGCTCAAAATTATTTTAATTTATTGCTTAAACTTCAGTTTCTTTTACAAAGTTTTCTAAAAATTAAATTTTCTTTTAATTTTTTTTTATATTTTGTATTTGATTACAAACGATTATTTATTAAAATTTGTTTATTTTGTTTATTATTAACTTTAATAAAACTGTATTATTTTATTTTGTTTATTCTATTCTAATTTATTTTATTATCTTTTTTTTATTTCTTTTTCAAATATGGCAATTATGAATTTTCAAATTCAAAACTTAATTTGCAATATTTCTTTTTTTAAAATCATGTATCAATATATTTTTTTAATTTTTGTTTAAATTTTTTAATTTTTGTTAAAGAAAAACTGTGATTATTATTAAAGTGAAAAAAAAAATATGTTTTATAATTTTTGTGTATTATTTAAAATCAAGATTTTTTAATTTTGTTTGTAACGAAATTTTTTTAAAGTCTTATAAAGTGCTGATATTTTTTTATGTTTATTTTTGTTTAAATTAATTTTTTTTATTTAAATTAATATTATTATTATTTTTATATTATTTATATTATTTAAATGGTAGTTTTACTACTTAGTTTTTAAAATAAAATTCAATTAATTTTTAGTTACTATTTTATTTTAATAAATTAAGTAATTTTTTTATAATTTTTAACAATTTTAAATTTATAAAAAAAAAGAGAAAATATTCCATATTTAAACCTAAAACAACAAAAAAAAAAACAACAACGATTTAAACAAAATAAAACGAAAGAAAAATTTTATAAAATTTTACACAAAAAAATACTAAAAAAAAACAACAAAAATAAAAAAACTTAAAAAAATAATCAAAACACTGGTTTTATTTTATAACCTTTTCCCCTACATTCCCCCTAAAAGAAAACAAATACTTGGGTAAAGGCCAAAAAAAAAAACAAAACATTTAATAAATGAAATTTTTAATTTTACAACAAAATTGTATTGATTTTTCTTTTTCTTAACTTTAAATGCTGCCTCCTGTTCCAAAAGGCTATAATACCAAAGAAGATTGGTGTTCTCCTATCCACACATTACCGGGCGGTGGTCCAAATCTTCCTATAATGTCTCCAAATCCTTATTTATTAAGTCGTTTTACTTCCAACATTCCCATGCCCACTTTATATGCGGGTGATGCTGTACGCAAACCTAAGCTGTCAGTAATCGAAGTTTTACTGTACAATATGGCGGCTCTTTTGGCGGGTGTAGCTGCGGGCTATGATGTACGCATGTCAAATGTTTCACCCTTTCATCCTACACTGCTGAGTGATGTACCCGCTTTGAAAGCTCCCATGGATATGGAACTACCGAAAGTGGGAGAAGATCGGCGATTTGCGGCGAATACTTATCATGGTACTGGCAATCGGAATAGGTGAGTGTGGAATAGATCAATTCGCCCGATAGCCAGATCTAAAATCTGGAATATAGTCTATTCTTTAGTCTAGTCTATAGTCAGGTTTATAACTAGTCTGTATTCTAATCTATAGTCCAGTTTATAGTCTAGTCTATAAGCTAGTCCGTAGGGTAGACTATAAACTATAGTCTAGTCTATAGTCTAGTCTATACTCTAGTCTATGGTCTAGTCAATAGTATTGTCTATAGTCTAGTCGATAGTGTGCTCTAGTCTATAGTGTACTCTAGTCTATAGTCTAGTCTATAGTCTAGTCTATAGTCTAGTCTATAGTCTAGTCTATAGTCTAGTCTATAGTCTAGTCTATAGTCTAGTCTATAGTCTAGTCTATAGTCTAGTCTATAGTCTAGTCTAGTCTAGTCTATAGTCTAGTCTATAGTCTAGTCTATAGTCTAGTCTATAGTCTAGTCTAGTCTAGTCTAGTCTATAGTCTAGTCTATAGTCTAGTCTATAGTCTAGTCTATAGTCTAGTCTATAGTCTAGTCTATAGTCTAGTCTATAGTCTAGTCTATAGTCTAGTCTATAGTCTAGTCTATAGTCTAGTCTATAGTCTAGTCTATAGTCTAGTCTATAGTCTAGTCTATAGTCTAGTCTATAGTCTAGTCTATAGTCTAGTCTATAGTCTAGTCTATAGTCTAGTCTATAGTCTAGTCTATAGTCTAGTCTATAGTCTAGTCTATAGTCTAGTCTATAGTCTAGTCTATAGTCTAGTCTATAGTCTAGTCTATAGTCTAGTCTATAGTCTAGTCTATAGTCTAGTCTATAGTCTAGTCTATAGTCTAGTCTATAGTCTAGTCTATAGTCTAGTCTATAGTCTAGTCTATAGTCTAGTCTATAGTCTAGTCTATAGTCTAGTCTATAGTCTAGTCTATAGTCTAGTCTATAGTCTAGTCTATAGTCTAGTCTATAGTCTAGTCTATAGTCTAGTCTATAGTCTAGTCTATAGTCTAGTCTATAGTCTAGTCTATAGTCTAGTCTATAGTCTAGTCTATAGTCTAGTCTATAGTCTAGTCTACAGTCTAGTCTATAGTCTAGTCTATACTCTAGTCTATAGTCTAGTCTATAGTATAGTCTATAGTCTAGTCTATAGTCTAGTCTATAGTCTAGTCTATAGTCTAGTCTATAGTCTAGTCTATAGTCTAGTCTATAGTCTAGTCTATAGTCTAGTCTATAGTCTAGTCTAGTCTATAGTCTATAGTCTAGTCTAGTCTAGTCTATAGTCTATAGTCTAGTCTATGTCTAGTCTAGTCTATAGTCTAGTCTATAGTCTAGTCTATAGTCTAGTCTATAGTCTATAGTCTAGTCTATAGTCTAGTCTATAGTCTAGTCTATAGTCTAGTCTATAGTCTAGTCTAGTCTAGTCTAGTCTAGTCTATAGTCTAGTCTAGTCTATAGTCTAGTATATAGTCTAGTCTATAGTCTAGTCTATAGTCTAGTCTATAATCTAGTCTATAGTCTAGTCTATAGTCTAGTCTATAGTCTAGTCTATAGTCTAGTCTAGTCTATAGTCTAGTCTATAGTCTAGTCTATAGTCTAGTCTATAGTCTAGTCTACAGTCTAGTCTATAGTCTAGTCTATAGTCTAGTCTATACTCTAGTATATACTGTAGTCTATAGTCTAGTCTATAGTCTAATCTATAGTCTAGTCTATAGTCTAGTCTATAGTCTAGTCTATAGTCTAGTCTATAGTCTAGTCTATGGCCTAGTCTATAGTCTAGTTTATAGTCTAGTTTATAGTCTAGTCTATAGTCTAGTCTATAGTCTAGTCAATAGTCTAGTCTATAGTCTAGTCTATAGTCTAGTCTACAGTCTAGTCTATAGTCTAGTCTATAGTCTAGTCTATACTCTGGTCTATACTCTAGTCTATAGTCTAGTCTATTCGGTTTTTTAGTCTAGTCGGTTTTTTAATTTACATTCTCCACTTCTTTTTAACTTTCCAGAACCGCCTTAAGCTCTCTCACCTACGAACCATCTGACGCTCCCGATTCGCCTAGACGTAATACCGATTCTCCGCTACCACACACCAAACAATCCAACAAGCAATCTTCACAAAATGTCGCAGACAATATAACAACAGCATTTAATAAATTCCCCCACCATCATCAGCAACAATCACACATACCCCAGCCGCAATACACGAAGTCGGTAACACAACCACCAACACCGCAACACTATCATCATCCTCAGCCGATGATGCAGCAACAGATACGCAAAATGCCTTCAACTATATCGACTACAACCACCAGTGGTTTGGGATCAAATTTCACGAATAATACTTCGGGTATATTGTCTTCCTCGTTGGGTAGTCATACCCAACCACCAACGCCTTCACCTAGACGTAAAATCAGTACTTCATCGTTTACGGAAAACTTAGAATATTCCGAACAGGAAGATAATCTGCCAATAGATAAGGCTTTTCGAGGATTTCATTTGGGCGGCCAGGTGGGTATGTGTGGTGGTGGTCAGCCACCTATGTATGCGCCACAGGATTATTTGAGAAACGGTCCTAGCTTTTCCAATGATGGAGGTGCCTATGGAGCAGGGGCCCATAGAGCAGGTTATTTGGGTAAGTATAAAAATAGAAGTTTTCAGAACATGTTTGTATATTTTAAACTCTTTAGGCTCCAATTACTTTCCCTATCGACCGGAGCATCAAATGACCTATGAAAGAGATTGTAAGTCCTATCCAGACTATTCCTATGATTATAATCATCGTTTGCCCAACTATTATGATTATAATTATGATCCACAACCTCCGCCACCGCCAGCACCCCAGCAGCATCATGCCTCACCGCCAGTGGTGAGAACACCACCTCCACGTGTACCACAAATGGGGGTAACAGCGGCCGGACACAGACGTACACCCTCTACTATATCCAATAATTCCAATTACAATCAGGGCTTTAGCCTAGACTATGATGAGGCGCTCAATCAACAGTATGAATACAATAGCATGGCTTTGCCTCTTAACAGCGATTATGGAGGAGTAGGAGGAGTCTATAGGGAAACAGGAATTCCTACGGGAGCCGTACCGCCACCCACTAAACAGGAACTGTATAAAAGTTCACCCAAACCTGCGAATCGTTTTATGACCAATACACGCAATGAAATTTCCACGCTCAATCGTATGCGGGACTATGAAAATCTTCCATTTAATGTTAGTCCTTTGCACAAACCCTTATATCAGTATCGCAGAGGTGAAGGTACGCCTCTGCATAATACCCCGCAACGCACAATATATACACGTTCCCGTTCAACACCCATGTCACCGATTAACATGAAAACTTCTCCTCCCTCACCGGCGCCTACTCATGCTCACAAACCCTCCTCCATACCGCGCCTAATGCCCGAACGACCCGATAGTTTGCCTTTTGATCCGAATGCCTTGTCTTTTAGCAGCGGTGTGGGTACAAAATTGCGTTCCTCTTTGAAAAAGTACAATAATTATAAAACGCCCAATGGTGCTCCTCTAAATGGTAGCGGAGCTGCTAATACTGGTTCTGTTTCGGCTATACCTTTACCCACAAATAATACCAACACTACTACGGGTACCGCCAATAGTACACCCACTAATCCCACACCACCCGATTCTTATACCAGTGATGATAGTTCGTATCTAAGTGCCAAAGAGGGTTCGATTTCTTCACACAGTCGTGTGCGCTTTAGTCCAGAGGCCTATCTAGATGCCAGTAGTCCGGGGGGACTTAATAATCCCCATAGCTCTTCTTCTACCCACAAATCTTTGGCCCTCTATAGTAGACGTTTGTCAAGGCGCAATACAGCTGACATTTCGGGTTCCTCTACCTCTCCCTCATCCTAGCAGGGTTTTGCCAATTTAAGGGTACAATTAGCTCGTAGTCCGGGAGCTCGTTCCAGTACCCTCTCCCTTAATACCCAACATCTAATACCAGCTGGTCTAACATCTCCTCTACTACAGCATCAGCCACAACAGCAGCTACACCAACAACAGCAGCAGCAACAGCTGCCCTATCGTTGGTATTCGGGTGCTAGACGTTCTCGGTCGGCTCAATATGAATATCATATGTAAATATGATTATTCATATTTTGTATATAATACTAAACTAGGTATGTTATATCAAATATTTGTATTTATATCTTTAACAAAAAAATATCTCACATTCACAAAATAGTACTTTTTCATTTTATTAATATCTCTAGATTATCAGGTTTCGTAGTAAAGTTATAAATATTTGTATATGTAAAATATAATCTTTAAATTTAAACTTGATTTATAAGGAATAACGTTAAACAATATATAAGCTAAAGAACTAAATATTCCTGGATCGTTGTTATTTTGATTTAATAGACATTCCACGAAAAAGATTCTAAATTGAAGGCTCAAGACTGTAGTCTGAACAATAAACGAGACTCTAAAACGGAGTAAACTGGACTTTAGTGTGAATTATAGTATCGAATACGAACTGTAGGCTAGATTAGAGTCTGAACTATTGACTAAGCTATATTCTCACCTTTTTAGTATAGTCTGGATCATCAACTAGACTATAGGCTATAGTCTGGGCAACAAATCAGACTAGAGTCTGGGCTATAGACTAGATCAGAATATATTCTGAACTAATGGCAAATCTGTGGTCTGAACTGTACACAAAGCTATAGTTTAGAGTCTGGACTATAGCAAAGACTATAGTCTGAAATATATACAAGATTCTGATCTTTAGATTAGACTAAAGTCTGAGCAACAAACTGGACTGTAGTATAAACAAGAGTCTGGACTATTGCCTAAAGTCTGGTCTGTAAACTAGGCTAGAATCTGGACTAGAGAATACACAAGAATTTTGACTTTAGTCATAAGTTTAGACTATAGACTGAACTATAGACTAGACTATAGTCTGAACTATATACTAGACTATAGCCTCAACCATAGACTAGACTATTTTCTGAACTATATCATAGGTTAAAGTCTGAAGTCTAGACCAGACTATGGTCTGAACCATAAACCAGATTATAGTCTGAACTATAGACCAGACTAAAGTCTGAACTATAGAGCAGACTATAATCTGAACTATAGACCAAGCAATATTCTGATATACAGACCAGACTATAGCCTGAACAATAGACAAGTCTATAGTCTGATCTATAGACAAGTCTATAGTCTAGTCTATAGTCTGAACTACTGACCGGCCTATAGTCTGAACTATAAACCAAACAATATTCTAAACTAGAGACCAAACTATATCCTGAACAATAGACTAAAGTCTAAAGTCTGATCTATAGACTAGCCTATAATCTGAACTATAGACTAGACAAAAGTCTGGGTAACACACTGAACTAGAATATGGACTGTAGTCTATGCAAGAATCTGGACTATTGCCTAGAGTTTGGTCTGTAAGACGACGAGACTACAGGGAGACTATAGATTAGACTATAGACTAGAATAGCATTGGCTATAGAATAGAGGCAAGGCTACAGACTAGCAAATAAACCAGTCCATAATCCGAAGTGTAGACTAGACTATAGATTGAACTGCTTATAGATTACACTATAGTGTAGACTATAGTCTAAACTCGGTCTAGACTATAGTTTGTAGTATAGTCTAGATTAGATTAGACTACTGTCTGAACTATAGACTAGACTACAGTCTAGTCTATAGTCTGAACAACAGATTTGAGTCTGAACAACAGACTAGACTTTAGTCTTAAGTATAGACTAGACTATAGACTAGACTATAGTCTGAACTATAGACTAGACTATAGTCTAAACTATAGACAAGACTATAGTCTAAACTAACGACTAGAATATAATCTGAACTATAGACTAGACTATAGTCTGAACAATAGACTTGTCTATAGACTGAACTATAGTATAGGTTATAATCTGACGTCTAGATCAGACTATGGTCTGAACCAGAAACCAGACTATAATCTGAACTATAGACAAGACTTAAGTCTGAACTATAGAGCAGGCTATAGTCCAATCTATAGACCAAACAATATTCTATACTAGATACCAGACTTTAGCCTGAACAGTAGACTAGTCTTAGTCTGAACAATAAAATAGTCTTTCTTCTGAACTATAGACTAGTCTATAGTCTGGTCTATTGACCAGACTATAGTCTGAACTATAGACCAAACTATATTCTGAAATATAGACCGAACTATAGCCTGAACTATTGATTAGTCAAAATATAGACCAGACTATAGCCTAGTCTTATAGTTCAGACTAAAGCCTATAGTTTAAGCCATAGAGTAAGACTAAAGTTTAAACTATAGTCCTTCGACAATAATCTTGACTATAATCATGTCTATAGACTTTTGAACTAAAAGAATGTTATGAAATTATAATTTAAATCCAAATATTGTTTCTATAAAATACTCCATTTTTGCCAAACTTATTTTAACATTTAATTCTGTATATAAAATTAATTTAAAAATATGAATAAAACCAAAAAAATACAAATTAATAAACAATTTATATTATAAACAAATAAAAGTTGTATAATCTTTATAAAATCTTAAATTTGATAAAAAAAAAAACAAAATTTCAAACCAAAATTTTGCGTACATGTAAAAATTGCCTTAAAAAACACAAATAATTGTATTTTTTTCTCATCTAAACATTAAGAAATAATTAATTATAAGAAAAAAACACAACATTATTAAGAAATCCTAAATAATTTAAAAAAATTAAAAAAAAAAAAAACATTCCAAATTCTCAAAAAAATATAAATATTTATAAAAAAAAATTTAAGTTTAAAATAAAATTTTTGGTAAAACTACACTTAAGGTCAATAAAGTATTACGTATTAAACTGCTACCGTAAAAGAAGTAGAAAATATTTTGGTGTAAAAGCTCTATTTTTGACAATTTAACCCTAGACCTGGTAGTCTTTGTTTTCTTAATATTTAATTTTAAATTTTTTATTTATTTCTTAAAATTGATTTCACACACAAAAAAAATTAAGGCTGACATTAAATTTATTAAAAAATTATTATTTCAATTTTAATTATTTTCAAAATTTTTCAAAATTTATTAAACAGCATTAACACCAAATATAAAATCTAAGTAACAAGTGAAAAAAAAAATATATATATAAAGAAGTATGTGTAATCAATCAATTGATAAATTTATATTTGAATAAATATTTAATTAAAGCAAACAAAAAGCTTCATTATAATAACCACATAATAACCACATATAGTTTAGACTAGAGTCTACTATATAGTTTAGACTAGAGTCTAGTCTATAGTTTAGACTAGAGTCTAGTCTATAGTTTAGACTAGAGTCTAGTCTATAGTTTAGACTAGAGTCTAGTCTAGTCTATAGTTTAGACTAGAGTCTAGTCTAGTCTATAGTTTAGACTAGAGTCTAGTCTAGTCTATAGTTTAGACTAGAGTCTAGTCTATAGTTTAGACTAGAGTCTAGTCTATAGTTTAGACTAGAGTCTAGTCTATAGTTTAGACTAGAGTCTAGTCTTTAGTTTAGACTAGAGTCTAGTCTTTAGTTTAGACTAGAGTCTAGTCTTTAGTTTAGACTAGAGTCTAGTCTTTAGTTTAGACTAGAGTCTAGTCTTTAGTTTAGACTAGAGTTTAGTCTTTAGTTTAGACTAGAGTTTAGTCTTTAGTTTAGACTAGAGTCTAGTCTTTAGTTTAGACTAGAGTCTAGTCTATAGTTATGACTAGTCTAGTCGATAGTTTAGAGTAGAGTCTAGCCTATAGTTTAGACTAGTCTAGTCGATAGTTTAGAGAAGAGTCTAGTCTATAGTTTAGAGTAGAGTCTAGGTTATAGTTTAGACTAGTGGTTATTCTATAGTTTAGACTATATTATAGCCTATAGTTTAGACTAGATTCTAGTCTATAGTTTAGACTAGATTCTAGAAATTAGACTAGATCATAGTCTACAGTTTAGACTAAAGTCCAGCCTACAGTTTAGACTAGAGTCTAGACTATAGTTTCGACTAGTGTCTATAGTTTAGACCAGTGTGTAGTCCATAGTTTTGACCAGATTCTAATCTATAGTTTAAACTAGAGTCTAGTCTATAGTTTAGTCTAGAGTCTAGTCTATAGTTTAAACTAGAGTCTAGTCTATAGTTTAGACTGCAGTCTAGTCTATAGTTTAAACTAGATTCTAGTCTTTAGTTTAGACTAGATTATATTCTATAGTTTAAACTAGAGTCTACTCTATAGTTTAGACTAGAGTCCAGTCTACAGTTTAGACAAGAGTCTAGACTATAGTTTAGACTAGTGTCTATAGTTTAGAGTCTAGTCTATGGATTAAACTAGAGTCTAGTCTATAGATTAAACTATAGACTCTAATCTAAAGTAGATTCTAGTCTTTAGACTAGATCAGATACTAGTCTATAGTTTAGAATATATTCTAGCCTATAATTTACACTATATTCTAGTCTATAGTTTAGACTAGATTCTTATCTATAGTTTAGACTAGATTCTAGTCAATAGTTTAGACTAGATTCTAGTCTATAATTTAGACTATATTCTAGTCTATAGTTTAGACGAGAATCTAGACTATAGTTTAGACTAGTGTCTTGTCTATACTTTAGACTATTTTCTAGTCTATAGTATAGAATAGAGTCTAAACTATATACTAGAATCTAGACTAAACTATAGACCAGAAGCTAGTCTAAACTATAGACTAGACTCTAGTCTATAGTATAGACTAGACTCTAGTCCATAGTTTAGATTAGACTCTAGTCTATAGTTTAGACTAGACTCTAGTCTATTGTTTAGACTAGATTCTAATCTATAGTTTAGACTAGATTCCAGTCTATAGTTTAGACTAGATTCAAGTCTATAGTTTAGTCTAGATTCTAGTCTATAGTTTAGAGTAGATTCTTATCTATAATCTAGACTAGGTGCTAGTCTATAGTTTAGACTAGATTCTAATCTAAAATTTAGACTATATTCTGGTCTATAGTTAAGACTAGAATCTAGACTAGTGTCTAGTCTATAGTTTAGTGCCTAGTCTATGGTATAGAATAGAGTCTAAACTATAGACTAGAATCTAGACTAAACTATAGACTAGAAGCTAGTCTAAACTAGAGACTAGAAGCTAGTCTAAACTAGAGACACTTTAGTTAGACAAAAGTCTAAACTATAGTCTAGATTCTCGTCTAAACTATAGACTAGAATATATTCTAAATTATAGACTAGAATCTAGTCTAACCTATTGACTAGAATCTAGTCTATATATTTGTTCTATAGTTTATAATAAATTCAGAAATATAAGTTAAACTAAAGTGTAGCGTACACTAGACATTTGAATAAAGTCTATAGTTTAGACTTTAGGTTCTAGTGTACAGTTTAGTCTAAACTATTTTACAAACTTTATTAACCTTTGTACTTATTTCCAACAATTTCCATATTTAACTAAATATGAATTACAAAAAATCAAACATTATAATTACGCTTTTTTAAACACATGTTTAGTTCAAGTTATTAATTTTATGTTCAATATTATTAAAATTTTATAAAAAACAACTAAATAAACATTAATTTAGCTTAAGCTTGTTCCATATTTTTAAAACAAACAAATATTTATATAATTTTAATTTAAAGAAAAACCAACAAAAACAAAATAATTTTCTTGTTTAGCCAATTTGTTACAAAACAAAAAAAAAAGAGATAAACTAACAATTAAACAAATATTTAAAACGAAAAATCAAACTAAGTTTTTCTTAAGAAAATCAACTATATTATTGAAAGAAAATATTTATTAATTGTGTTTATAAATTTAAAACATTTTTAACAAACATTATAAAAGAAAAAGTTAAAAAATCCTATAATCCCCCCTTAAAAAATATAAACAATTTTATAGACCAATATTTAAATGAATAGAAAGAATGCCCAAAAATACTAAAGTAAAACCTATTAAGCAGATTGAAGACAGAAAACAAAATAAAACGTCAAAAACTTATAAAGAAAACTAATAACCAAATAAATTTATAGTTAAATTAAATTTAAAACAATATAATAAAAAAAGAAAAAGTTAAAAGTAACGTAAAAGAAATAATAGTTAATTTGAAAACAAAAACCAAAATAAAACTAAAGAAATATATA